ACTCAATGACGCCCAACCCCAAATCACTGTGCGGTTGAACACGACTTTCTTGGCGACGATAAATATGATGGCAAATCATTATGGTGTGTGCTGAGTGTATTGACCAGCAGATTGTCGCCGATGAGATATCGTCCATGGTAAACTTCCATTTTATAGATTCGCATGACTATAGGGCTTTTTAACCACTGGGAGGAAACTGGCATAGCACAAAAGAAGTCTACCAACTCCAATAAATAATGATCCTAATCCGTCGTAACATCAGTACCATGCCATATGTCGTAACATTTGATATTTTACGTCGTAAAATTTGATATATTATTTTAATTAAGGAAATGTAAATAATTTAATATATTATTTTAATTAAGGAAATGTAAAATAATTCTCGACAGGAAAACAGAAATTGTCTTCGGGTAAAGTATAATTAGTTACTAACATATTTTACATCCTTGAAGACGTAATTAACTTCACGAAAAATATCTTTGACAAAATTGTTCCACAATAGCGTTTCTTCAGTCAAGACATTCTCCTGAAATGACATGAAATGAAATGGGGTTTGATGTCCTTCTTTTCTGCACCGACGAGGCTCATGAAGACAGGAACATGCCATACAGTGTGCTATGGGGGAAATTTGTCCAGGACAGTGACTTTACAACTACTCTTATATCGAATTCAGGCTATCAAGAGCTCTTTTATGTCAACATGTATCAGGAACCTCGGTTTTTGATCCCATTCGAAGGACTAGATGCTGGAAACACAGGGATCCAACCCCTGACCTCCTGGATAGCGAGTCGAGTCAGCACCTTACCCACTACCACTAACCCACCGGGACAATAAACTGTCCAGCTCAATTAGAAGCAGTGTTGTGTCCCAAAAGGTGGGGCGGATAGAAAAACAGACAGAGAGGCGATCGAACCTATTTTGAGAAGTCAACCTGGTTCCTTAGAAAGACAGGGGACAATTAATTCATATCCTGGTGAAGATAATTCACCACAACAAATACTTTGAAATATGTTTTTAAAAAACAAATATGTTTCTGACTGTCATACCTTCAGACATACTGACTATAACCCAGCTGCCATCTGTTTGGGAACAAAGGGATGGTAGTCGCGTTATGTTACATGTGCGCTGTTGATTATTATCTCAGGCATTTGGTCAAGTGGCGTGATCCAAGCTTTTAAGTGACAAGGAGTTGGGGTCGTCTGTCCAACCCTGTGGATTTTCTCAGGGTCATCAGGCTTCCTTCCGCTGATAAAGACCGCTGGTTAAACCAACAGCAACAACTTATACTGCCCCGGCGGACAGCTAAACGTTGGCATGTCTTTGAAACAGTATCACACAGGTTCAGATAATTACTTGGGATTAGAATAAAGATTTTTAGAGCCTTCCATACAAAATTTCAGTCACTGAAGCATATATGGGATTTCCCCTTTAAACCGAAATGCCAATACGTGACTATCTTGTCACAGTTGAAGTTGAAATAACGCCATGTCATTTTATACAGGACTGTAATGACTTATAAGTTCTATTAATTATGCACAATTTTTAAAAAAATAGCGGTGTAGGTCATTGTCAGGAAACAGTTAGGATGAATATACTTGATCACTTGTAATCCGAGGTTCCGCCTCATCGCAAACTTTATCATTGGCTAAGGGAAGCTCTGTCACATCTGAGTGACAACCCATTTATACTTCCTAATTGGAGGTATAAAATCTGCTGACGTACATTTATCTGCTTGTATATTTGTGCACATTTGGGTAGGTTTGTTTTTATTCTGATACATAATTAAGTATTAATTTTATTTTCTATTACGACGACATGAATGTATAATTATTACCACTTAAAAACTTGAATTATGCCCATATTGAGTTATCATATAATAATTCTATGTCATATTAAAACGTTATAAAAAATAATAATTATACTGGTTTCTAGTCGGCTAGATTATTTGTCTGATTTTCTACGTATTAATGCGGTCGTATATTATTGCCGCCTCTGCCTATCCGTCCAACTTTCGGTAATCGTTCTACTAATTTGAATTGTTTTTTTTTTAATTTTTAAAATTAATTTGATATAATAGCAGGAGATAAGACCACCGAATTCGACTTGCATCTTGGAGAAACGAATACATCCTTGATGCTGTTAAAATTATATGAATATTTACAGTTATAAGTATAGTAAAATTTCAATATCAAATTACATGGTTTGTTAACTTACATTTAAAACGATAAAATTATAAATTCATATGAATACAAGGCTTTTGTAAGAATACATCAAACGTAATGTGGAATTACAATCATGTGTCAAGTTACAAAATGTGAGCTGTATATTAACAGAAATGCCATTTGGAATAATATTTTTACAACAAATTGTAAATTTACTGTCAAATAGTGGTCACATCAGTTATTGCCCCTTTGCCAACATATCGAATTTTGTGCAACATATTTACTGTTCTGTCAGTCAGTTTAGTCTATTTTTCAGAAATAGGTTATTGAAAATATGAATGCACCTAACTGGCTAATGATTACAGGCATATTCCATACATTGTGTAGTGTGGACATTTTCCTTGGACAGTGTCATCCCACCTACTCTTGCCAGGATCGAACCTAGGATGACTTAGCCAAGTGGGGACAGCCACATTGCCTTTAGTAATTTTACCTCGGCAAATTACATAATATATGTAAATCTACACTAGAATGGTGAATTTACTTGCAGGCATATTGCCATCGTAATGCGGTATAATTACACAGTGTAATTTTACCAATTTATGAAAATTATCTTTATGGTAATTCTACATGTTCCCCGTTTACAGATCTGTAAATTTACCGTGGATGTATACTAGCTAGAGGTAAAGTTACATTACAGAATGTGAAATAACATGCAATGTTAAAATACAGCTATAATGATGGCAACATTTCTGCCAGCTTAAAAAAGGTAAAAATACATAATAATTTCAACAGTGTATTATTATAAAATATGTTATTACGCTTTTCATTACAGTCTGCAAGATGTCTCAAAAATGCTGTATTTTTGCCGCTTGTGCAATTTTGCTTGGTTCTATAGTGCAAACTCAAAATAGAGGTACAGGAAATTTATTTTTTTTCGCAATATCGTCTTACACTAAGAAAATGCACTATATAAGACTTAGATGAAAGTTTCAGTCATATTGCAGGCTTCTGAGCTAAGTTATCAGGTTTTGAGGTGTTTAAAATATAGTTACGATAATAAACAAAATCTCGGTTATCCAATTCTAAATTAAATTATTACATGGCAATTGTTTATCAATCCATTGAAAATCACGATCATCCAATGGTCTAGAGAGTTGACTATGGGCTTGTCTTATGAATTTAATATCTAATTGATAATTTAAATAAAATTTGAAGCCAAAAGAAAGACCGACAATATGCAGATTTATCTTTTATATAACATTTTTAACATATAAATTATAAATATTCATTACTTCCTACTGCGAAATTTATGTTAACATATTTTTGATTTAGATCAAAAATATACATGTCAATTTCATATATAATTTAAAGTGTTTTACACGGCCTTAGATTTAACCGGTGGTGACAATAACCAATTTAGTGTTCATGTGTCGTTATAGATTTAATTCGAATAAACTTATGTACGGTAAACGGAACACAACCCCGAATTTAGGCCTAACAGTTGTTCATACCAACATTAAAGATGGGTTCCCGCGTACAAACTGGGTGATTTAATGGTATATACGGACTAAAAACATATTCAAACTAAATTTTTCATAATTTTGCTTCAAATCCTTCTCAAACATTGTAATTCCGAAGGAATGTCCTGCTATAAAAATTCGATCAAACCAGGTCACGTTTACGTTACGTGACTTACCTCTCTTGGAAGTCAGAGGAGAATTCATAGCATACATAAGACGAACTTGTCTTTAATCGCTAACTATTTATTACAAATATCGAATCCATTGCATACATAAAACGATGTTGTCTTTAATCGCTAACTATTTATTACAAATATCGAATCCTAAAAAATTCTCGGATTATCCACTACCCGCGTCTTTTTCCGTCATTTTTATCTCATCTTAGAAGGTGTTGTACGTCTAACTCTTCTTAAAGTTTATCAACTTGTACATCAAGCGCTCAATGTTCGCGTGTGACCTTTGACATCATGCGAGCAGAAATTCCTAATAGTCGGGCTGTTGATTAGGGAAACTCTTACATTGTTGTCCTGTAAACGCTCCATGAGTGTTTTTCGGGGAATCCAGTATTTTTCTAGTAAGACTGGATATCTCTACTTTCCATATATACCAAAATTACCATACGTTTGTTGGAAATAACCACCCGATAAATACTTTTCTGGGAACCCATCTTTAAATACGATAGTCTATCATATGCGTTTAATATGCATGCATTTGACACCTACGATTTCATTAAGAATACGGAATGTTTATTGTTTGACGTGTATTACTTGTTGACATAATTTTTATACAACGTTAATAGTGATACTGAACAATACTACCTGTATTCTATATTAGCTCACTTTTACTTGTGCAGGTGTTTTACATAAATTAGTTTATACAAAATAAAAAAAAAATCGTGCGGATATTTAGTTAGCCTATCGTTTTCGCTAACAAGAAATATACATATTGATCGTAATAAAACAAAATATAAATATTGTTTGTATATTATTGTATAGTGATCAGCCTTTGAAATATCTATTGAATTGTAGAATGCCACAAAAGTTCATAAATGAGTCTGTGCGATTTTGAAATTAGCCAGCCCTGTCACATTCAGTGTTTTATCCATTGGTATCTTGAAAATAACATTCGGGTGTTTATCCTGATTAACTCGATTAATCGTTCAAGAGCTCTATTCGGGACGAGAATGGTTTTTTTTTACTCGATGTATCTATATTGCTCAATCCCCAGATGAAAGTGTTCATGACCTTTTAACTTTTTAAATTGCTAATAAACTTCTTTTTTTTTTCAAGACAATGATCACGTTATGTCGCTCACCATGTACCAAGCTCAATTGTCAGCCATGAAGAGAGATTATCAGCTGAGAGAGACTACTGTAGAAATATCAACTATGGGTCTAGGGAGGTAATATCTCTTTCTTTTTTTTCCGTTCAGATTTTTGGATCAGGAACTGCTCCCCAAGAGCTGTTCATCGTTTTGTTGTTCTTCTTCTTATCGGGACTCTAACGCTCCGCCAATGCAAGTACGATCCACATGAAACCATACACGAAACTTGACATTCCAAGATGGCGACAGTAGCACCATGCTTGGTTCTTGTCTTGATCTGTGTAGCACTACTAACGTACTTGTTTGGTGAAACATACAACACTTGAGTTGTTTTAATCAAATGCGTTTACAAAATACAAAAATGATATGAAGGTATCGGGATTTTGCTAATTATCAAGAGTTGCAAATTAAAACTGTGATCTATCCACTAATGCTTTGTATCCTAATATCATAATTTACTTCTCTCAAACCAACCTTTATAGTGTCAACCCATACTTTGGTTTTGCTGCGTTTGGTGGTGATGCTGCAGATGCCGATTTTGGTGGTGGTGGTGATACTGAATTTGATGCTCCATGCTCAGACTCCGATCGACTTTACAGAAATATTACTGGTTATTGTAATAATATAAGACGACCAACACAGGGTAAATCATTTGAAAGATATAAACGATATGTTTATCCTCAATATCAAGATGGTAAGTAATCAACTCAGTCATGTATCAATGAAATGTAGCATTTCCCACGTGGCTAAGCATTCCTTTTCTATTGATTATTTATTTTTTATCGCTTTCAGTCAGTGTGGATACGTGTTTTCCCGCTTTTGCCTCACTTCCCGATTATTCACACCTGTTTGGGATCACCCCGTAAAGATCTGTGTTACAATATTTGAAATTTGTTTAACCGGTTCTATATGTAATATCGGCGGACACCAACAGTAGTTTGTGATGCAATTTTTTTCGATTTTTATCTTGCTTACAGTAAAACCATTCGAAACACATTTTAGTTATGACATTAAAACATTCTTGTCTTCAGGCATATGCATACCAAGGATACAATCAACACAAAGTTTCGGCCGAGTTCCTTATGACATCCATTTTCCAAAAAACGATTACCACAGCGGTAAAACATTTGGTTATGGGCGAGATTGGTACGATAAACCTCTGTTGCCCAGCGCCAGAACTGTTAATTTTGTTTTACATCCAGCTAAGAACATGAACTCGAGGAATACAGTGATGTTTATGCAGTGGGGGCAATTCTTAGACCATGATTTAACAGCCGCTGCTATAGAACAACGTAAGTTTGTTTCCGATTTCTATAGTTTATATTCTACTAACGATTAAGGAGCTCGTGTAACTAGAGGGATGGGCTTTGTTACAGAATGGCACCAATCTGATTAAAATACAGATCTATATTTCGTTTCGTTTTTTTATACTTTCGATGGCCTACACTACATGCAGATCTGACCGGTTGTAGCGATAGGTTGCGTCAGAGGTCATACGAGCGGCTTTTGACCTATGACGTCAGATATTTGATTAACCAATCAGCATTGATGTTACTAGTGGATTACCCACAGTTCCGTGCAAAACACGCCTAAAGCTCGCCGTAACAGACTGTTTCATTGGCTAAGCCCTCACACCATTCAGAACACGTCAATGATAACAACTCTTCCAGATCCTAGTGTAGTAAAGATAAGTAAAACGAAATTTTGAGCTATAAAAACGAAACGAAATAGGATCTGTGTTTTTAATCAGATTGAGAATGACACATGATGCTGTATTTCATTTATGCCACTTACCCTATATGAGCATTTCTCAAAAAGATGTACATGTCAACATTCGAAGCTGACAGATATCATGACAACACCTACGATATGTTTATCTGTTCCTTTATCTGACTTACCCGATTCCCTTATTCAGTAATTCATCTTAGAATTGACAAACGAATCTATTCCATTTTTAACTTATCTCTCAACTATTGCTCTCAGGTTCATTTGTATGCTAGTCTTGAGATTAATCCCAGAATTGTTTGTAACAAGAGACGAGACGAGACAAAATATATCTCTGTGTGTGTGCTTACGTTTGCACTTTGTTTACAGCTCAGAACAATGTTTCCCGATCCAGATTGTTCAGATTCCTCCAGACAGGTTCTTTAAAAGGAATTGTATGGAATTTCTTCGTTCCCGATCAGTTGAAGAGAAAATAGGTTTGAATGATTATTTTAGTTATTTTATTTAAATTGAACGGGTTAAGTATGGATGGAGGACTCTAAGAAACAGTTATCCGTGTCCTGTTTGCCCTGTTTAACCTTTCGCAGAAATACAAACTTTCAGTTTTGGGCGAAAAGTCCCAAAGTTCCCTTCTATCCACGTGAATAGTCATGTCCAACCAACTAAAAGAATTAAGTGACACAATACAACTGAACAGGAAATGCCGTAAATGCGTTACATATCCCAAATCTACATAGATCACTTTAAAGCGGCTCAGTATTTTGGGCTGAAAAATTCATATACGCTTTTTAGGCAATTTCTTCACACTTTCATGTTTATTTGTATATTTGAACAAACGCTTATTAAACGGTAAAAAGTTTTTGGTGTAAATGTAGCTTAATTTAAGTTTTATTGGCTGTGTTCAGTACCGTATGTCAATCATATATTTTAGGCGAAGAAAATCCAAGAGAACAACAGAATCTGTTAACAGCTTTTATTGATGGTTCCAGTGTATATGGTAGTGATGTAGAGACAGAAGAAAGATTAAGGGGTAGAAATGGTGAGAACTAAGCATTGGGGTCATGAGATGATGAACCCTGGGGATATTCAGTATTCATCTACTTTCAGTTATCCCTTTTTGCCGAAAACCGTGTGTGGAGCATTGTGGTCACTGTGGTCTACCCCTATCGATATTCAGCTTTCCGCGACTTTCCGTCCCGGGGTATACTCGTTTTCCGAAAACGTAGTAGTTAAACCGACAGACCAGTTTTTAAACATTGGGGTCGTGAGAAGATGAACGTTATTGGTATTCGGCGTTCCGCGACTTTCTGTCTCGGAGTTATTCCCCCCTTGACTAAAACCTTTTTAACTTTTAACTCGATTTTCAGGGTACGTTTTATGTTTCAAATTAGTCGTGAAGCATTGGAGTTATTCCCCCTTTTCTGAATGCATAATATTGAACGCTATAGAGGCCATAGTTTTCATGAGATTTGTTCTCGAATTTAGTTTAAAACCTTGCTGTCATGAGCGGGCGAATCCTTAGCGTTCTGTATTTTCCCATCCCGAATATATCAGATACAAAGGCAGACCTTCATAAAATGACAAGGCAACTGCGGTGATATAAAATGGTAGAAATATTATTGACTTATTCAATGCAAATTGTATCGGGAAAATTCATATGCCCCACCAAGAAATGTATATCATTTCAGGAAGAATGAAAGTATCTGGTAATAATTTACTACCAAGAGGAAATGACCAAGACTGCATTGAAGGGGACTATTATTGTTTTGCTGCAGGTAGTTCTACTTATTTATGTCGCATTTTTGAATCATGATATTACGATATTACATTTCAAGAGCGTATTAAATTTTAGGAAATAATACGTTATAATATAACATTAAATTGAATTTCAAAAAATATAATACTAAATTTTAGAAAATATAATAATTAAATTTTAGAAAATATAATATAAAATTTTAAAAAATATAATATTAAATTTTTTTAAATAAGGTATTAAATTTTTTTTAAAATATAGTATTAAATTTTAGAAAAAATTAAATTTTAGAAAAAATATTAAATTTGAGAAAATATCAAATTTGAGAAAATATCAAATTTGAGAAAATATCAAATTTTAGAAAATATCAAATTTTAGAAAATATCAAATTTTAGAAAATATAATATTAAATATCAGAATATATATTTTTATATTTCAGAAATTCGGTATTTATGATAGGTATTGAATTTTATTGTCTATTGTTGTGTTTTCGAGATCAATCACAACGTGTCGATCCATATTATTCTATGCGTTATTTAATCCTTGTATATACCTTAATTGTACTATTTTAAGGGGATGATCGAGTTCATGTGTTTCCTGGTTTGACTGCTTTACATACAACATTTGTAAGATTGCATAATACTATTGTGCAAAAATTGGATGACAATACGGATTGGGATGGTGAGCGACTATATCAAGAAACTAGAAAAATCGTTGGCGCTATTTTACAGGTAACCTTAACAAAATCTTTATTTGTGTTTATAGAAAAATACATAAACGGGGGCTTGTCAGACCACTATTCGCCCACCATCAGTGCTTTAATATAAAATCATTATCAACCATTTCCATAGAGCAAGTTGTATAGGCCTACAACATTTTATGAACCCTGTATAAAGTTTTATACACCCTTTTACGAACCTTTTATAAGATTTATACAACCTTTTTTAAACCGTGTATAATGTTTTATACAACCCTTTATGAACTCTATATACGGTTTTATACATCCTTTTATGAACCCTGCATAAGTTTTATACATCCTTTTATGAACCCCGTATAAGTTTTATACAGCCTTTTATGAAGTCTGTATAAAGTTTTATAAAACTTTTTAATAAAGTTTTTGGGGGTTGGATGGCCGAATGGTTAGCCGGCGCGCTTTAGCATAAGTTCTGTCAATGAGTCAACTGGCGTGGTTTCGATTCCCTGGTTGTACGTGACAAGGAGTAGGGTCGCCTGTCCAACCTCGTGGTTTTTATCCAGGTCCTCCGGTTTCCACCCACTGCTAAAGACCCCTACGCGCAAGCGAATTATTGAAATAAAATTGCACCATGTGTTATTCCCGAAATAACCTAGTTTGTGTCGAGTGGACATTAAACCCCATTTGCCTCTGTATAAATAAAAAGTTAAAATGGAAAAATAACTGTGGGGTTAATTCTGTGGTTTGTGATCGAAAGATAGCGGATTTATCATCCGGGGGTCCAAATGAACTTTTCCCTGTATTCCATCCAAGTTTTGCAAGTAATTAAAATTTACGATCCTACATGTTTCATCCGTCAACACCAATGACTAATCACATTGCATTTCAGAAAATTATAGACGCCTATATTTAAGATAGTTAAAATAACAAACGGGAAGATAATTCACGATATTGTTGATAAGAAACTTTGCAACCATTCCGCATGTTGTAAGAACATAACATTTCTTTCTATTTGCAGAGGATTACTTACCTCGAATTCCTGCCAGAAATATTCAATAAAAGAACTTTACGAAAATATAATTTGAAAGACGGAAACTATAAATATAATATCAACATTGATCCCAGTATAGCCAATGTTTTTGCCACGGCAGCTTTCAGATTTGGTCATTCTTTGATTCCGGATTTCTTAGTCATAGATGGCGAGAAGGTCCGCTCTCGAAAATTGTTCAACAACCCTAAATTTATATTTGAAAAGCTGAAAGCTTTGGTTAAGAGTGTCTTATATAATCCAAGTGAAACGGTGGATCGTTTCCTAACAAAAGAAATTACAGATCATTTGTTTGAAGTTGATGATCTGTCTTTTGATTTAGCTGCATTTAATATACAAAGAGGAAGGGATCATGGGTTACCTCCTTATAACACCTTTAGAAGGCTCTGTGGGTTAAATCCAGTTGTGACATTCTACTCCAAGCAGTTAGGGTCAGGGGGGGGGGCTGCTATGGCTAGAATATACAGGTAAATATTTATATTTATACATACACCCAAATACTTGCAATTTGGACAGAAAGGGTCATCCATAACACATATTATTGAAAAAGCCTTCCACGATGTGACAGATAGGTTTTTCCAATCTGTGTTCCAATTGACTCTGCTGTAACGTTGGATTGTCTACGTTCTGTTTTTCAAACGTCAAGATAGTAATCTCTCCAGTAATCTTATAAAAAGCAAATGTAGTCTGTGTATGTGTGCAGCTGAAAAAGTTGCATTTGTTACTATTACTGGATGTCAGACACAAGAGTTGGTTGATTTATAGATGACATTGTTATGAATACCGGATCGTAAATGATATAAAGGTTCTCTATAGATGATATAAATGTATTTATCATCAAAAATGCGAAGGTTTGTGTAGATGATATTATTACAGGATGATATATCTATTTATTATTATTACAGGATGATATTGGTGTATATGTTATTATTACACGATGATAGATATATTTTTACTATTACAAGGGTGTATATAATAGAATATGTTATTATTACAGGACTGTAGATGACATTGATGTATTTGCAGGAGGTTTAGCTGAACCACCACTCCGGGGTTCTCAACTAGGTCCAACCTTCACTTGTATTTTGGCTCAACAATTCAGAGATCTTAAATTTGGCGATAGTTTCTGGCATGAAACCAAGGATCGTAAACGAGGATTTAAATCAGGTGAAATAGCAATGATAATGATTTAATTTAATTTAATTTAAAGTAGCTAAGTCTTTAACTCTGTATCATCGACAGTCTTCGACAATGAAAACCCGAATTATTTGTCAATTTAAATCAACATTGAAGTTGTGATCTTACCGGGAAAAGATGGGCTTTTAAGACAAAATTTAAGACAAAATAAACTTTTTACTATTGGTACACGAATCGTGTACCAGAATGCGTTTCAGCCCCATTTGTAACAAGGGACCCGAAGAACGAGGCTAGACATATTCCACATGTTATGCATGTCGAAACATAACATCCCAGATTATGGCCCCTTATTGTATGCAGTTCTCTGTCTATCGCTTGCAAAATGTGGGCGTGTCATACATGACAACCCCTTGTATTATTAGATAACATTGTGTTTTTGTATTTTAATAATTAAAATTATATAATTACTCGTTTTGCAGATCAGCTTGAATCACTAAAACGAATATCTCTGGCTAAAATTATTTGTGAAGAAATTGGGTTAGATAGAATACAGAGGAATCCATTCCGTGTTGTAACAAACGGGTGAGCTATAGATTTGAATGCTCAAAAACTTACATTTTGATATTGTTTATATATCGCGTAAATCATCAAGATTGATTTGCAGTCGATAGATAATGCGTATTTTAACCATGCCAACCGAAAATAAATCTTGGAGGTCGGCTGTCTATAATAACCGGCTGATAAAAACGTAACTTTTAGGATAGCGGAATCGAAAAGCATACACAGTTTACAGATTTTTCAAGAAACTATAGTTTACCATTTTTGTTGACTATTTTGTCTAGCATGTGTTTGTATTAGGAACGTACAATAGTTAGGTTTATGCAGAAGCCGTGCGATCTAGACTGTTACTGATGAAAAATAAAATTGCCATAGCCACTGAGAATTAAGAGGTTCCCTAAACACCACGTCTTCCGGTCCCACGAAGTTAGTATCAAGCAATTCATATAGCTTGGGGTTTTCTCTGTGAATAATAACGCTATTGAATGGTCAGATTAGTAATATTGTGAGCTTATGTAAGAACTGAATAAAGTCTGCAATTACATGTAGCAACTATTGTGAGATGTCTTCACCGAGTCTAGACAAAATGGCGTGTGATATAATTATACTGCTGCAGTATACATGCCAGATAATATTAAAAATTTGAATTGGGTTGATAATATACGCCAACATGAAATTATGGCCTATCACAATAAATGATAGATGGTGCTATTAATTTAACCATGATTTTTCAACATTGAGTTTCACTTTTCATGTTGATAAATCCTGGTACAACGTGACAAGTACTCCATAACTATATAATGCTAATTATATTTTCAGAAATCCAGAAGTTTCGTGCAATAGTCTACCTGATTTAGATCTGAGTCCTTGGTGGGAGATTAACTAACTAACTACTACAATCATCGTGGGAAGCATGGATATTATTAATTCTCTGATTTATTTATGTAATATATCGAATTGGTTTATTTAAGTTTGTCTGTGGTTTAGAAAATAAATTTGGACGCTGACTAGAGATTAATTATTATCAAAATGATTAAATCGTATATGGTATTTAGATGAGGGGGAGGCTCGATGTATTTGGTATTATTGCTTTCTCTGTTGCATTTTAATACTTAGTGCAGGGGGACCGCACCACACAGAGACAATTATACTTGCGTTATTTATCCAATGGCTGTGAATTGCTAAATGATACATTTGCTACAAATTTTCCAAGATAAAAATATATAGGTGCATTATGTAAGATTAAATAAGGGAGCTGGCCGTTTCTGTAATAATAATATTATATGGTTCAAAGATAAAATGATTATATTGGAAATTTCATTCAAATCAAATGTAACCAGAGACGGATTGGGCCGGTCGGAAATGAAAAAAATAATTTTGTCCAATTCGTCTAAAAAAAAACCTTTTTTGCTGAACATTATTTGGTGGGGGGGGGGGGGGTATTGGACCGTTCATGTTGTATGTGGCCAGTGGCTTTAACGGGCCGCCACGCCATCACTGAAGTCTGGAATGGGCTGGTATAATAGACTTTCTGGCCGGGTGTGCTGGGAGTGGGCCGGAATTCGGAATCCTGCAATGGGGATTCCGATTTTCATCCGAAAATTTCATCGGATTCACCCGACACTGTTGTGGAAGCTTTATTTTGCGTCCAAGATCAAATTTTATTTTTATTTTTATTTCCGCCCGCCGCTTCTGACAAAAATGTCAAGGGTAACGCAATTCTCATAATTAAATTTGTGTGGCCTTATACTCGAATATTCATTATCTGAACTAATGCTAGTTCATTAATCAATATGTAGTGTGCCAAATGTTTAAGTTCGGAGTCAAGGTAAAATAAGTTACTTGGAACAACAAATCCAAAATTCAAAAAAGGCAGCTTTCATGAATTTCACTTTCGTCACTCTGTACCAATGTGTCTTGTGGCCTTCCATCACAGGAGGAATCAGCTAGCGCTCCCGGGAACAAAAATGGGTCATTTTTCAATGAAAATATTCCTACTTATTCAATATTCCTTACTGGTTAATCAAATGGTCAAAATTTTCTCAACTATTCCCATTTTTTAACCAGTTAAATTCTCTTGAATCTTGACGATACATTGATAATACGTTAATTAATAATATGACGATATGATAATTTCACAGGTTGATGGTTGTAAATTACTTGTAGGTCGGGGTTTTGGCCTAAATTAATCGATTTATGAGATATATTATTTGACAGAGGTTATTATCAGATATGCCACCAAATCGCATATTTGGGGTTCATTTTTCAAAATTTTCCATCCCGGCCCCAATCCGCCCCTGAATGTAACGGTAATCAGGTGTTGATAGTAGGCTTGTCATGTGAATAACTGTTTAAATAATAGTTTATATAACATTTGAATCCAAGTTATATAACATAATGCAACTTTTTGATTTTTATTTTTTTTGTTTTATTGTCTATTGTCATCCCAGGTAGTCGGACATTTGAGTCTACAAACTAATTTATTATTTTCTTGGTCATTAGATACGCCATTGTCAAAATAAACTTTCCATTAATAAATCCCCCCCCCCCTCCGATATAGATCATTTTTTTAAAAAATTAGCCTGGAGGTAGCGGGTTCGTTCCCGGTGTTGACCGAGAAAGTTCACCTTCTCAGTGGTTCAGGACGGAGGACCTGACGAAAAACCGAGTTCCCGTGTACACATTGGCAGGCGCGTAAAAGATCCCCTGTCAGTTGGAATTCGATATATGAGTACGCCGTTCCCTCATAGCACACTGTAGCCCATTAGCTTCAAAAACAAGCCGACCAAGATAATATCGTTTTGATTCTTTTTTTTTTCAATATTTGTTGAGTGGATAGCCCAGTGGTTAGCGCCTGCGCGCTGTATTATAAGATCTGTCATTGAATCAACTCGGAAACAGGAGGACCCGGAGAAAACCTGCGAGGTTGGACAGGCGACCCTACTCCTTGTCACGTACAACCGGGGAATCGAAACCCCGCCAGTTGACTCAATGACAGACCGTATGATACAGCGCGCGCGTGCTAACCATTCGGCCATCCAACCCCCACCCCCTCTTCCGGTTTTCTCCCAATGCTAAAGATCCCTACGCGCAAGCGAATTATTGAAATAAAATTGCACTATATTTTAGTTCCAAAATGAGACCTTTTTTAGTTTGTGTCCAGCGGACTTTAAACCCCATTTCTCTTTCTCTCTATGCTGGTGGATAATAAATGAAAACATGACTCTTGTTGGTTGTTGATTTTACTATATTCTCGGTTAACAATTTAGCAACATGAATTACAGCACACAATTAATGTAACAAATATTGGTATGTATTGTTTAATGGTCGAGAGCGAGACATTAAGTAATATATTGTAACAACAAGAGGGCTGTAGGCCCGAGTGTTTTTACAATATATTACACAATATCTTAAGCTCGAGACCATTAAACGACTTAAAATACTGATACCCCGCACGTGCTTTTACAGTGAAATACGTCACGCGAGTCCAATATTTCACTAGTATAAATAATGTACAATTGGCAAGTTGCCCTCCCGATTATTTGAAATAATGGTACGCCAACATCAAGGGGTGCCCTCACATTTGTGTTTTAAAAACGCTTAATGGCATATTAACTACCCTATCGATATGGGAATTGGCATAAACGTGTGTCTCCAAATATGCAAATACAGGCACAAAACGCTTGTCCTCGGGTATGTGATAGTTAACTACCCATGAGACAAGAATCTGTTTTAAGAACAGCCTTGCCACGTGACCTGATTGAGGGAGAATCTACTTACAGATTGTAGTTGTTGTTAGTCGCTGTCCATTTACCATAAATATAGAATCATAAGTCAATTCTTAGATTATCCTTTACCAACTTCGTTTTCTGGCGTTTAATTGCAGTCTACAGGGCCCTTATTCACGAAAACTTAAACTAAGATACAATTGAAATTTTAAGAAATACTGCAATTCGATTGGCTGACCAGTAAAATCAATTTGCATATATCCAATTTGCATATTGGTCAGCCAATCGAATTGCAGTATTTCTTAAAATTTCGATTGTATCTTAGTTTAAGTTTTCGTGAATAAGGGCCCTGGAGAATTAAGTCTATTGATTTTCTCACAACCGTTAGCCATTAGATCAACACATAAGAAGAGCCTCTTACATCACTCGAGCAGACATGGCTGCCATTTACTGACCCTTACAATTTTCTGGGTATCCAGTCTTTTTCTAGTAAGACTGAGTGTCGGTATTTTCCGCATATACCAAATATGCCAAACGTTTATTGAAATAAAATACCCTATAAAAAAATTCGTAGGAAAGTATCTTGCAAATTTTCAATTTTCATATGATAAACACCTTTAAATTTTGTCCTCACAAACTATTTCTTAACATATAAACAAAATAAAATTCTGACCAACTTCTAAACTATTAACATTTGGAGACAGAATAACACACACACGTTTCAGCGAATCGCAATAGTACGCCATGAGCAGTTTGAATTTCATAACCTAGAGTCAATATAAACCATGGGACAATGGTTGGGTGTTATAAGTATTGTCCGGTAGGTTAAGTAAATCTTGTTTGTGTAACCGTTTATATACCGCAGGACAATTGTTGGGTGTTATAAGTATTTTTCGGAAGGTCAAGTAAATCTTGTTGGTATAACCGCTTATGTTGGATATTTTCTGAAAAACAAGATTAATTTAAAGGATCATTGACAGTAAACCAAAATGGTCTGTGAATAATCTATTTTATCGGAATAGATTTTTTTTTCATCTTTTCGTGTGTTCTTTCAATATGTTTCACTTTACGTTGTTTTAAAGTGAAACCTGATAACTTAACTTGCTAAAGTGACTCAATTAGACACCAAGTTTGAGAGAAGTTTATTAATGGAGCTAGAAAAACAATTATTTGCCTCGGTCCTCTCGGTTGTCTCTACTCATTGTCGGAAATATTAGTTCCGAACCCATCGAAGAGACATAGGTACGACACTAATATCAAACCGATTTCGTCTAGTCATTAAACTGGGGGAAAACCGAGA